CTGGGGGGGCGGAGGCTACGTGACCTCCATGGCCACTGTGTTGTCCGACAGGCTGTTCAGGGCCGGCTGGTCCTGCTCCAGATTCTCCCTGAAAGCAGAACAGACCAATCAGAGACGAGATCCAACCCCAACACATCCCAGTCGGCCATTTTGATTAGGTCATGTGACTAGCAGGTTTCTGAGGTGGAAACAAAACCTTACTGTCTATACGAAATCAGAAGACAAACGATGTCCTAATCCTAACCCTTCATAATTGTGAGAAATAAATATTTTTTGATTACACTTGTTTGGATTTATTGTACAAACCTATTTAACATACAATATTTTAACATATTATCATGTATAGAGTTTAATTAAGTGTTTTCAAGATTAATTTCACTATTTTTAAATTAATGTCTATATTGCCATGAAGCAATTAGGATTTTCTTGCCTGGGATCTTCCTATTGGTGACCTAATCAAAATGGCCGATATCTTGATCGGCTGTCAATATTTGCATAAAAACAGGTATAGGAAAATGCCAATCCAGACTCCTGTTCCAGTTTTTTTTAAATGTCCGATCAAAATAATCCATTACTGATGCTTAATATAGTTAATAGACTATTTTCTATTCAGGTTGTTTGTGCGTTTTGCCTTTTTAATACAGTTTACAATATTATTTGCACTTTTTACTGATGCCGTTTCCATTTGTTATTTATCATTTGATCTTTTTTGGGTTTATCCCTAAATAAAACAGGTAATTTTTTTCTTTACCAAACACTGAGTTATTCAAACTCCCCTATCTCAGACGGCTAATTATCAGAGTCAATCCCTGTTCAACATGAGTCTGACAACTAAGTAAGTAGATAAATAACTTTAAACTTTAACACATGCTCTGATAGGCCGGGACATCCCTGGCTTCCTAAGCCCCCCCTCCTCCTAAGCCCCTCCCCCTCACCTGGGCACCATGTCCAGCGGCGAGTAAAGTTTTAAATAAGTTTAATACAGGCTATGGGACATCCCTGGCTTCCTAACAGGAGCCCCCCCATAAGCCCCGCCCCCTCCTCCTAAACCCCCATAAGCCCCTCCCCCTCCTCCTAAGCCCCGCCCCCTCACCTGGGCACCATGTCCAGCGGCGAGGCGGCGGCGGGCGGCGCTTTGGGCTTCTGACAGTTGGCGGTGGCGGCGTGGGCGAGCTTTAAGGCGGCGGGCGACATGGCGGCGCTCAGCGTGCGCGGGGCGTGCACGCGCTTGGCCGCGGGGACGCCCAGACGCAGCCCGCTGTTGCCTAGCAACACCTGAGTGGCGG